GCCGATGAACTCCAGCTTGGCCAACCGCACTTAGCCACCTAGCTGGTTGAGTCCTTAGCCTGCCCAAACCCCTTCGTCGCTGTCGACCAGACTGCACCGGAGCTCCGCCACGTCTCTCACGCCGCAGTGGACTCCTCCGTGAGTCTTGGTCACCGGAGCCGCCACCTATAGGCCCGCCTTTAAACTCCACAGCATGCTCCATGTGGCCCTGTGACGCGCACCACCCAGCCACAGGACCCCACCGGAACCAACCCTGCACGCCCTGCCGCCGACGAGATACCGGAGTAGAAACAAGGGATCCAAGCGCCCTTTTTCCCCATTACCATGTGCACTGGGTGCACGATGCACCGCACTCAGCTGCGCCCATGTGGATGTGGTCCACCAAGAACCCTCCCAGCGTTCCACTAGGCCACACCGTGTCGTCCACCATGGACCAGCCCCCAACTCGGCCCAAGCCTGGCCCACCTGAGCCCGTTAAGAGCCTAGTCACTGTTGACTGTTGACCAGTCAACGATGACTGTTGACCAACCCCGCATGTCAGTGACCACAACCATCTGGACCAATCACGTTGTGCTACGTGTCAGCCCCTGTTTAACCCCATCCTTTTTCTTTTTCAGAAAAGGATGTGACCTTTGGAAATTGATAGAAAAACCATACAACCTCAGAAAAATATGAAACTAGATCTCACATTTTTCTAAAATCAAGCTCTACACCATGGACTTGTCCATGTCTGCCCGTTTTTACGGCGCACAACACGAGACCGAGACCTGCCTCTCCTTTAGACCTGCAGGAAGGCCCCACCGTCTTGCTGGACGCTTTCTTCACTAACCCTTGCTGTGTTTGACAGTAGTAGGCACATCTTAGCCCATCGCTGCCATGCCCGGCCAGCCATAGCTAGCCTTGGCCAACCATAGCCACTTGTAGCCAGCCACAGCCAGCCACAGCAAGTCGTAGCAAGCCACAGCTAGCCACAGCAGGCCGTAGCTAGCCTCAGCTAGCCAGAAGAAGCCACAACCCTCCGGGACAAGTCACAACCGTCTCTGGCCATCTTCACCTTTGCCGCAAGGATGAATCCAAGTTGGACGCCATTCCCGATGCCGATGAAAGCCCTCCCTTCGCTCTTTCATACACTCGATCTTACACCTGTCATTCACGATCTATGCCTATCTAAATCCACATATGCCATGCCCTTATGCAGGTTCCCTCGTTGCTACGGAGATGTGCTACTCCGTAGTCATGTCGAGTTGTTGCGTCTTTCGTTCGTGTTTGGTTCTTATCGCTGGTTGTTGGTGTTGTTGCCGGTATGCCGAGCTTTCAAGCCGGCTAAGGGATCGTACCTCATTCGGACGTTATGATCATGGGATTTGTCTCACCATGGTCGTGATGCCGAGTTTAACTCGACCCCTCGCCCTTTAGTCGACTTCATAATACTACGAGTGTTAACTCCTACCTTTGGCCCTAGGACATGGTCGCGATGGATTCGATATCGATATCGATGCGGATATCACCCGCTCACATCGAGCCTTTCGTGACCTAGCCTGTGGGAGATGACCTGGGAGATAACAATCGTGGAACGATGGATGCCAACACATGTTGGTATAGCTTGTGGCCACGAGTTCACCTCGCCATGACCATGGAGCTACGCCACTCTTTTGCTTTTACTTGCCTCTTCGTGCTCAAACCCCCGTATGCTTGTACCTTGTATGATTTGATTCCCGCGGTGACAACCGCACCGCTATGAATTAGAGAGATGTCTTAGTGCCAGTGCACCTAAGTCGGGTAACCTACGAGTGGTTTGCGCACTTGGTGTTTGTCGCTTCCTTCCAATGCCCCGTCTTTCGTCGTGGCGCGAGTGTTGGAAGAAGTAGACCTTGTCCCTTGTTGTTCTTGCTCTTGTTGCACCGTTAGCCCGCTCTGTTCGATTCCGTCTTGCCCATGATGATTGGATTAAAGACCAAACTATTCCCTTTGGGTTAGCGAAGCTATGGTCTATGTCGTACCTCGAACCCGTGCGTGTCGACCCGATCGACCGTCTAAAACCATCTTTCCCGAAGATGTGTCTGAGAACATGACATGGATGTGCCTAGCTAACCCCCACATCTTTTGCCGTGTTGAGCGACTCTCTTCTCGGCTCCCGACGTTATTGTGTCGTGTGGATCGAGGGGAACCATTGATGTCCAATCTCTTTGCGCTACCGCTTTCTACCATAGCGGGCGAGCCGAAGTACGTTGGATCCAAGTTACAATAGTGTTAATCGTTCTTGTTTGCTACTCGTGTCCAATTGTGACTTGTGGGATAAGGCTATAAGAGCCGAACCTTGTTGTTCTTCTTTCTTGGGGCCCGACTTCCAATCCCCGTCAATTCAATGAGACCGGATCAAAAGATCGTGAGCCGTGGTGTTTGCTCTGGATAAGCTCTGGCTTAAACCATTTATCGTAAAGCCATACTAGCTTGGCCATGACCTAAGCTTGTGCTCAGCATACCACCACTCGTGTTTCTTTGGCCCATGGATCGGACATCAGCCGAGAGGGCCAAGTCATTTCCTCTTTGTGTTCCTTCTAGGTCTTGTCGCCTTTTTTAGAATATTGTTTGTTCTCTTGCCTTGAGTGTGTTTTGGAGGTAATTGCCACGAGGACAACGTTGGATCGGTACCCAATGGAGAAGGAGAACGTGATCGACGATAGGACCCTGGGAAGAGGAGACCTTGCCGATTGACTACATCAACTAACAAAGATTTGTACCACTACTACCTCGACATCGCAGATGTCATGGCAGCACCCTCTTTTAGAGAATCCTATTAGACATTGCATAATATCTAGAACTGCTAGCGCTTTATATTTAACCATTTGCTAATATATTGATGCATGCTACTACCTGAGCCATTATCACCCTGATGCAACCCACTCTACCATGTCACCCTGCTTTGCGCATTCGCTCACTTATATATGCTGACTTGCCTGCTTGCTTGCATATTACACCACTATACTTATTATTAACTCCACTTCGCATTATATCGGGGATGTGATGCTGGTGGTGAACCCCTGGGAATGGTTTGGCTTGGGAAGCCGGACTCGGTGGTGTATGAGCGTGCTGCGTATGTGCCTTGGGTGCATGGAGAGTGAGGGTTGCATCGACCGAGCTGGAATAACGACGAGCCTAGGGCGAGTCTTGCCATGTGGTGCTACCTGGGCACTTGGATATGGAATACCTATGGCGGGTAAATGGTAATTGGAGGTGGCCTTGGGTGTGAACATCAGAGAGGTGGAGCCCGGGGTAGAGGTGTTGTGGTGGCACGTAAAATGGAAACCCTGATGAAGACATTCTGGCTTGGTCATCCCTAAGGACTTACTAGTACTCAGACTCATCGGGAATCCTTTACATCCCACTCGCCCTATATGGTGCGGGACGGTCGGACTACTTGGTAGAGCGATGCCACTATTGCTAGGCGAACGTGTGCAAGGAGGTACGGGGCGCGCGGTTTTCCCCCACACCCTTTCGAGACTTTAGGAGGCCTTGTGGACCCAGCTCTTGACATCCGGAGGGCCCCGGCTCTGTCTACGACTCACAGTATCAACCATCCCAGACTAGACTTGGGATGTTCCAGGGCTGAGAGGTAGGGTGGCATCGTTCTAGGCTAGCAAGAGACTGGAATATGCCTATACGGGGCACCGTCGAGGATGGCTATCTTGTGGGTATGTGAAACCTCTACAGAGTGTTTGGTTGATCGATCGATACATATGCTGACTTGTCGGCTATGGATCTTTCCTGGGTTTCGCTTAAACTAGATAGGAGATGAGTCCTTCTTTCCTCCCTATAGGGTTGGGGTATTTTCTGGTCATGAGCCTTGGGGGCTGCAGGCCGTTGAGACAAGGCCGAGAGGGAGTTGGCCTGTCGACCTGAGTGTGTGAGATGAGATATGGTGTGGTGGTGTGGAGATGGTTTGGGATGGATGGTTGGTGGAAGGATATGGATGGTGTGGTGGTGAATGTGTTAAAAATTGGATATTATTATTATATTATTAATGTTATTTACTTCTCATGCGCTAAGAATGCAAACCACAGCCAAATATTAGGATCGTCAGATCCCTTGTTTATCTTTTCCACTAAAGCTCATCGGTTCTGACCATGGCCTGCATACATCTAGCGGTGTGCATATTTCCTGCTTCTCAGAGATGCTGACTTTAGAAGGATTAGGAGGTCTCATGCCTATGCTCAAGTTTGGTTCGAAGATGGAATCTACGCTGCACTACGCCAACTCTGATGATGCCTGTGAAGGAGAAGCCTTCACTCGATAGTCTTCTGCTAGATTAACTCTGTAATAGGTGTATTCTCTAGTAATGTAATATCTTATATTCTTGTAATCTTACGATGTATGACTATGACATCGACTGAAATATGATAATATGATGGAATCAGTTCTTGGTTTTATCATATTAAAATTCATTATGTGGATTTTCCCTTCAAGGAAAATTGAGGATGTTTCAGAAAGGGCTTCCTGCTTCTTGGACCTTTCAATAAGGGCCTGTTTAATTCCCAAAAAATTTTGCTGCAGTACCTATCGCATCGAATCTTGCGGCACATGCATGGAGTACTAAATGTAGACGAAAAAACTAATTGCACAGTTGGGTGAGAAATCGCGAGACAAAACTTTTGAACCTAATTAGTCCATAATTAGACACTAATTGTCAAATACAAACGAAAGTGCTACAATAGCCAAAACCCAAAATTTTTTGCATCTAAACGCAGCCTAAGTTCATGGGCATTCCTCAGCAAGTTTTTAACCTCTTCATTACTCAATAAAGAGAGGAACCTTATGCTCACTTGCAACCTCAGGATTTTGATCATTGGCTTAGAAAACCAACCTGTAGAACGTGAACAAACTGATTGATAAGAAGGTTTCTGAATTTCTGCTTGAATAAAGTCATCCTTCAGTTCATATAATTGCAGGAAGATGAAACTCTGTGATGGCATTGCTTCAAGCTTTCACATATCTACCCACTTCTAAGACCCAGAATTCTTTGGCCTTAGAAGATACCGTAGCTCAGGAGGCATGCGAAAATCAATTCTCTGATATATTCGTGACTCAGAATCTTTACGAGGGTCATATCCTCTTCTGATCCAGAATTTTCCAAAGGGTCCAGTAGAGAAGTAGTATTCAGCTCTAAACAGAAGCCTTTTGAATTGGTTTTGAGAGACATGCACACCATCATCAAGCAACCGCTCATAAAGTGATTGCCTTGGCCACACAGGATGCTCATCAAACAATTTGCAGACAGCCATCTGCCAATCCCAATCTACAGAATTCTTTCGAACATGGTCTTCCCAATTAATCTTCTCCGGGACAACTTGAGTGTTGAACGGAAGCGCAAGAGTTGGTCCAACGTTCATCTCCCACCGTTCTTGTACGACTCTCCTGTGCATGGTTTTAGATAGGGCATTGGACGATGGTAGAAGCGCTATCTTTGTTGGTCTATCCTTTGAAGGAATAAAGTACCTCTAAAACATTGATCAGGGGATAAACATCTTACTTAGATGGAGAAACTCATTCCTCTACTTTGCCCTGGCGCAGTTGCGCCGCAGCTGCGTGCTCGCTGGTGTCGTGGGAGCTCAGCGCGGTGGAGTCCAACGTAATGATGGCGATGCAGAGACGACAGTGACACGAGGTGCCGCTGTCCGGTGGTGACGACGAAGTCAGTGGGTCTTCCCGTCGCTGGCAGCACTCTCTTTAGATCGGGTTAGGTTTAGTTGTTGGTGGGTCATGGTGGCTTCGGTCAACCTCGTAGATAGAGCCCTGATCCCCACCTCTTTTTATAGTGCTGTGAGACAGGGGCACACCAACCATGGAGTGGTTGGACGCCCCCGATCAGGGTGTTGATCCAAGGGCCCGTTGGGCCAATTGGTGAAGATCAAACTAACATTCTCCCCCTTGATCTCACACCATCTTTTACTTTCATATCATTTACTTTTGTTCATTCCATTACAGATTAGCGCATAGAGCATGTTTCATCGTCATGGTCAATTACCGACAGATTTAACAACTACAACACACCACTCTATTATAAAATAGATACTTAACTTTGGGCCTTCTTTTGTCCAGGAATTATAGGCTTTCCCTTAAATCCATGTCGGCTACATGTTCTCTGAACACGTTGGGTGGTAAGCCTTTTGTAAGCGGATCCGCGAGCATCTTTTCGGTACTTATATGCTCATGACTTATAACATGATCCTGGACTTTATCTTTCATAACATAATACTTTATGTTAATGTGTTTGGTAGGACCACTTGACTTATTGTTGTGAGCATACTATACTGCCGGATTATTATCGCAGTATAACTTAAGTGGCTTATAGATGTCGTCAACCACCTTCAAATCGGGTATGAACTTCTTTAACCAGTTCACCTGCCCTGTTGCCTCATAACACGCTACAAACTCGGCATACATTGTGGACGATGTAGTGACGGTTTGCTTTGAGCTTTTTCATGAAATAGCTCCCCCTGCGAGAGTGAATACATATCCAGACGTGAATTTCTTTAAGATCTTTTCTATGTATGGCTTTTGTGACAATCCTAATACACCTTTATTTTTATCTCGGTGAATCTCGATCCCTAGAACAAATAAAGCTTCACCAAAATCTTTCATATCAAATTTTGAGGACAAAAACTTCTTTGTCTCTAGTAGTAGACTGACATCACTACTAGCAAGTAAGATATCATCCACATACAGGACAAGGAAGATAAACTTCCCATTCTTAAACTTTGCATAGACACAATTGTCCTCTACATTCTCTTTAAACTTAAAATTCCTTATTGTCTGATTAAACTTCAAGTACCACTGTCTTGAAGCTTGTTTTAATCCATAAATGGATTTCTTTAGGCGGCATCCCATTTATTCCTTTCCTTCCATAACAAAACCTTTCGGTTGTGCCATGTAAACATTTTCCTCCAAGTCCCCATTGAGAAATGTCGTCTTTACATCCATCTGATGTAATTATAAATCGTAATATGCCACTAATGCCATTATGATTCTGAAGGAATCATTACATGAGACTGGAGAAAAGGTCTTATTGTAATCAATGCCTTCTCTTTGCGTAAAGCTTTTTGCCACAAGTCACGCTTTATATCTCTCTATATTCCCTTGAGAGTCTAGTTTTGTTTTATGGACCCATTTACAGCCTACTGTTTTGGCTCCTTTAGGAATTATTTTCAAGTCCCAAACTTTATTGGCATTCATAGATTTCATTTCATCTTCCATGACCTCAAGCCACTTTGATGAATGATCACTTCTCATGCCTTCTTCAAATGAAGTGGAATCATCCTCCATTTGAAATTCCTCAGTGTTGTATACTTCATAGTCAGCAGAAATAGCTGATTTTCTAACTCTTTGAGACCTTCTAGGGGCCTCCACATTTGGCACATCTTCTATTTGAGGTTGTTGTTGCTCCCCCTCATGTGTGGCAATAGGTTCTACAGGATCCTGAAGAACAGGTTCCTCATCGTCATTCATTGTTGCCATAGGTGAAATAACAATAAGTGCTGGCACCACAATATCTTGCACTGTCGGTGCAGCGACAGCAGGTAGTGAGAAAAATGGCTCATGAATCATCGTAGTGGACGCATACACCCGCTTCTCTTCAAGGTCAATTTCTCGAGCTACCATGCTCCCCCTCATCATTTTATCCTCTAGGAAGACAGCGTGTCTCGTTTCCACAAACTTTGTATGTTTGTCTGGACAGTAGAAATAAAAGCCTTTTGACTTTTCTGGGTAGCCAATGAAATGACAACTTACTATTTTGGGATCTAGCTTCCTAATGTTTGAGTTAAATACTTTAGCCTCAGCAGGACTCCCCCCACACGTAAGTGGTTTAGTGAGGGTACTCTTCCTGTCCACAACTCATACGGTGTTTTGGGCACCGACTTACTTGGTACTCTATTGAGAATATGAATGGCGGTTTTTAACGCCTCTATCCACAGGCTCAACGGTAAGGTGGAGTAACTTATCATACTACGCACCATATCCATCAGGGTACAATTGCGTCTTTCAGCTACTCCATTCTGCTGAGGTTCGTCCGGTGTAGAATACTAGGCTACTATGCCATTCTCCTTTAAGAACCTTGCAAAAGGTCCAGGAACTTGGCCATATAGGGTATGCCGACCGTAGTACTCCCCCCCACGGTCGGACCTGACTATCTTAATCTTTAAATTGTGTTGGTTTTCAACTTCTGCCTTAAATATCTTAAATTTATCCAATGCTTCCGTTCTTTCTTTGATTGGATAAATGTAGCCATAATGGGAGTAATCATCTGTGAATGTTATAAACAAATCATAACCATCCACACTCTTTATAGGAAACGGACCATAGATGTATGTGTGAATAATCTGTAAAATTCCTACGCTTCGTTTGGCATCTTTCTTAATTTTTTTACATACTTTCCTTTTATGCATTCTCTGTATTGTTCTAAATCTGAGAACTCTAATGGAGGAAGAATATTATTCTTAACTAGTCTTCCTATTCTCCCCCTCAAAATATGGCCTAAACGACAGTGCCATAATTTCGACGACGCATCGTGAGCTCTCTTTCATTTTCTATTTACATCCGCAGACGAGGATACATTCTTATTGTCGCACGCAACGTTTCCATCATCGCATACAACATTCACATCATCACATAGTGATAACAAATATTATGTGCTCTCTTATGCCACCATTTCTAGAGTACCTCTCTGTCACCAGCTACTTTATCAGTTGGGTAGCATATGTCTTTGAAGAGCTAGTGAACTGACTCTTTATTCTATCGAGGTACTCGGTGACCGTGTCACACTCTGGGATTGGGCCCACAATTGTAGGCTCAATCGTGTTCTTTATCACAGCCAAACATTTCTTGTTGGCAGTGACCCACTTCCTATGCTCAAGGTCATAGGACATCTTTTGAGATTCAAAATCCCTCTCTCTAGTTGCCCAAACGGCATCAGCCTCGTTTGTCTCCCTCACCAGTGCCACAGGCTCAGTGGGACACGGTGAGGTGACTACCCAGTCCACCTCAGCCAAGATGAAGGCCAGGTCAATCTTTTTCTCCCACTCCTGGTTATCACATTTGAGAGTGGGGATCTCTTTGGTGCAACCCATCAAGTTGTATCCGCTTGAAAACATAATTCATATTGAGTGAGAACATAAACATAATAATAACAATTGCATATCTTAGTTCCAACGTTGGTCAAAATTAAAACATACAATTGTCCTCTACACTAATTCTACATCACCATTGGACAGAAATAGAATTAATGCATGACAAAACTCATAAATAACATTATAATATTGCCATTAATCAACGTTGGTCAGAATAATAACAATATTATAATAAACTAAAAAACATATCCATTTTTTCAAAATTAAATTCTCCCGTTGGTTCGAATTTACTAATGAAAATAACAACTTTAAATACGCAGCGGAAAGCGTAAATATTCTCATTATTATTTTTCAGAAACTTTATAGTACTGTACTTTTCTCTGAACAAAATTATCGTTGGATCAAAATTGTGCAGAGTTGGACATCAAGATTCAATTGAAATTCATCAAATATGTATCAAAAAGTTTCTGGAAAAATAAAATCAATATTGTTCCTTCGGCCCGACCAAGAAAGCGGCCCGGCCTGTCTTGCGCGCGCATGCGCGGCTCCCACCCAGGCCGCAACCTGGGCCTGGGCCGGGAAAGCGGCTCGCTCGCTCGCGCCCGCCTGGGCCGGCCTCCGGCCCGTGGCTTCCGCACTGTCGATGCAGATCGGACGGCCGAGCGCGCGCTTCGGATGAACAAAACCCCGGCGGCGGCGGCATCACCCCGAACCCTAGGTCATTCGCTGCCTCCCTTCCTCTCTCTTCGCCGCTCTCCTTCCTCAGCACTGCAGCAGCGAGTGGCGACCGAGCGAAACACGAGACGCAGTGAAGCATGGCGCCGTCGCCGACCCCTTTGCCAGTGCGTGCGCTCCCCACGCGAGTGAGCACGCCGCCATCGAGCGGACTAGCGACGGTGCCCTTGGTCGGAGCTCGCATGGCTTGGCCGTCTTCCCGCGCGCCGGCAAGGCGGTAGCACGGAGAACAGCGAGGTAGGCCCCTTCCCCTTTTCCCCTTCTTCTCCGATTTGGATCTTCTTCTCTGTTCGTCTTGGATTTCATCCGATTGGGGATTAGGGTTAGGGTTACTTTAAGTTAGGGTTAGGGTTTGACTCACTTGACTCACTGTTCATCTTCCCCATCGAGTTCTTAGCTTAAGAAAAAGATAGAGATAAGAACGGTGAGTCTGCTTGAAAGTTTTCGTATGACTGATTTGATTTGATTCAACAGAAGAAATTCCATCCCTCCTGAGCTTTGCTAGGAATGGAAGTGGTTTCTTTTCCATCATCTTCTATCATCTGATGTACAAGGGCAATGCACAAACCCGGCACATAAACTGTTTGAGTCAAGTTGCCAGCTTTTCAACTCTTTCACAATATAGAGCCACAACCTGCTTATCGACAATGCCCATTGAAGGAACAGAGTACCTCTAAAACGTAGATCAGGGGGATAAACATCTTACTGAGATGGAGAAACATCTTACTTGAGAGGAACCTTATGCTCACTTGCAACCTCATGGTTTTGATCATTGGCTTAGAAAACCAACCTGTAGAACATGAACAAACTAATTGATAAGAAGGTTTATGAATTTCTGCTTGAATAAAGTCATCCTTCAGTTCATATAATTGAAGGAAGATGAAACTCTGTGATGGCATTGCTTCAAGCTTGCACATATCTGCCCACTTCTGAGACCCAGAATTCTTTGGCCTTAGAAGATACCGTAGCTCAGGAGGCATGCGAAAATCAATTCTCTGATATATTCGTGACTCAGAATCTTTACGAGGGTCATATCCTCTTCTAATCTAGAATTTTCCAAAGGGTCCAGTAGAGAAGTAGTATCCAGCTCTAAACAGAAGCCTTTTGAATTGGTTGTGAGAGACATGCACACCATCATCAAGCAACCGCTCATAAAGTGATTGCCTTGGCCACATAGGACGCTCATCAAACAATTTGCAGACAGCCATCTGCCAATCCCAATCTACAGAATTCTTTCGAACGTGGTCTTCCCAATTAATCTTCTCGGGACAACTTGAGTGTTGAATAGAAGCGCAAGAGTTGGTCCAACGTTCATCTCCCACCGTTCTTGTACGACTCCCCTGTGCATGGTTTTAGATAGGGCATTGGACGATGGTAGAAGTGCTATCTTTGTTGGTCTATCTTTTGAAGGAACAGCGCACCTCTGAAACATAGATCAGGGGATAAACATCTTAGATGGAGAAACTCATTCCTCTACTTCGCCCTGGCACAGTTGCGCCATAGCCGCGTGGACGCCGGTGTCGTGGGAGCTCAGTGCGGTGGAGTCCAGCGTAGTGGTGGCGATGCAGAGGCGACAGTGGCACGAGGTGCCGCTGTCCGATGGTGACGGCAAAGTCTGTGGGTCTTCCCGTCGCTGGCAGCACTCTCTTTAGATCGGGTTAGGTTTAGCTGTTGGTGGGTCATGGCGGCTCTGGTCAACCTCGTAGATAGAGCCCTTGTCCCCCACATCTCTTTATAGTGCTGTGCGACAGGGGCCCACTAACCATGGAGTGGTTGGACGCCCCCGATCAGAGCGTTGATCCAAGGGCCCAATTGGGCTAATTGGTGGAGATCAAACTAACATCCTTCACTGAGAACAATGGGGGCACCAACATCATGACATCTCTATCTGCTTCATGATGTCCTATCTTATCTAAATTCCTTTCATTATCATTTTGAGAATCTAAACGTTTTCTTTTTCTCGTTTGTGCAGCATGCACTGGAACAACATGTTGAAAGTCTACCATACCTTCAAAGTGGTAGGCAGTCCGGACATGAGTGACCACCTCGGCGCAAGGTGCCACAGCTCCCTTACGCTTGGAGGCGCGCAGAAGGCCGGTGGGCGCGCAGGATCGCGCCAAGGCTGGATGGCGATGGGGGTCCTCGGGGTGGAAGCGAGCTCGAGGCGGGCGCTAGGATCGGAGCTCCAGACCTTGGCAATGCCGGGGAGATCGCCGAGGATGCGGGCGGCGTCGGCGGGGGAAGAGGGGTAGCCCGGGTAGTGCACGGCGAAGGCCTCGGCTGCTGGTAGCATGCCGGAGATGGCGCCGTCTGTGATGGTCCATGGGGACGGCGGGGTCACCGGCTCTGGCGGCACGGTGGGTGGGTGGGGGGAGTGCGAGGAAGCCATCGGACTTAGGAAGGACTATGCCCTAGGTGGGACGAGCAGCTCGCTGCGAGGGAAGAAAGTAGAGGAAGGTGTGCCGGTCACGGGCGGGGCGAGCGGGCGCTTGCGGCGGCAGGTGAGGCGCGAGGGCGTGGGAGGTGGCGCGAGCTCTGCATGGCGGTTGGGGAGGAAGGAGATTGGGAGAAAGAGCTATTATAACTTGGTTGGGCCAATAAGTCGGCGCACAGTTACCTTAAAAGTATGGCGCATTAGTCACCAATTGAAACCAACATGGACCTACCCAAATCATAGATAGACATTAGATTGTCTCCAACGGCGTGACCCAAATGCAAAAATGCGTTATGCACAGTGTTTTTGGTACCAAAACCATCCTCCAACGGAAGACCGAAACCAGATACCCACTCTGGGTACTCGGCGATTCAGAAGGCAAATCTGCGTCTTCGAAGAGAGATGGCACAAACATGTAGTGGTGGGCCCGTAGGAGCCGGCGGGGCAGGGCGCCGCCGGTTCGACTCGGCGAGGTGGATCCATGGTGGAGCGCGGCCGGCGGGGCGAGGCGGGCTCGAGGTGAGGAGCGCCCGGAGCGGCGCGGCGTGGTGAGGCGAATTTGAGGAGGAGTGGAGTGGAGGAGGCGGGCCGCCGTGGGAGGAGTTGACGAAGGAGAGAGCGCTAGGGGTCCGCCGCCGGGCGCGAGCTCTTGGGAGCCACCGCCGCAGCAGGGGCAGCCCTCGCCGTGCGCCACGCCCGCGCCGTCGCTGGTGCGCTGCCGCGTTAGGGGCCACCATTGCCCCCCGCCCATGGCCACAACCGGGGGACTCCCACGCCTAGGCTACCTACGCAAGGCCGCCGGGCCCTGCCTGCGCCGGTGTGCCGCCACATCGAAGGGGGCCCGTGCCCAGGCCCACCAGTGCCTCTGCACCACCATGCCGGTGTGCCACCGCACTGAGAGGTGCCCTCGCTTAGGCTACCAGTGCAAGACCGCCGAGCCTGCCTGCGCCGGTCTGGCGCCGGCACCGAGGGGCGTCGTGGCCCCGCTGCCGCCGCTGGCGAGGTGCTGCTGCCGCTTGGGGAGAGAAGAGAGTGAGGGAGTGTGGAGAGAGAGAGAGAGAGAGGAGAGAGAGCACGGATATCATCAATGTGATTTGGGGCATCTATTGGAGAGGTCAAGGTATGGGTGCGTAGCTGTTTTTACTGTATGTTACTTAAACGGTGAAATGGGTGTTCGGTTTGGGTCATGCTATTGGAGTCTGTCTTAGCAAACATGCATCAGCAGTTTGTGTTTGGTCGAGCGATGTCTGAGGAAGATTTGCCAGTCCGGTCTTTAAAAACAGTAATGTTACCATTAAGACGTCCGGAAGACCCGATGTTTTTCTTCACTCACCATCGCATGCGTCGCTCATCTAAAAAAACGAAATCAACTCCCGCACATCTCGCTCTATTCCACTTCGCTCCCGCACGCGGTTATCCCCTCTGCTCCCGCATAGGCGCTCAACTGCCAGCCCTACCAGATGCGGCACGTGGCTACCTACGAGTCGCGGTGGCGTGGTTGCTGGCCCGGCAAGGCGCATAGCCGCATAGGAGTCGTGGTGCAAGGCTACTACCTCCCTGCCCTATCACGCAACCACTGCTGAGCCGCTGCCTACAAGCACTGCCAGGCCGTTGCCTTCGACAAACTTCACATGCCGACGAGCCTCCATTCTCCCAAGCAACAAGGAGAAGTCTACGTTGAAATTGCATGTTGCAAGCGTCTGTTGTAAGTGTTTCCAATGTTTCAGAGCTATGTTGCAAGTTTTTCATACTATCAGGGTTATAACCCCGGGGTGTCTCAAGGCACTGATTAGTTAGCAGGCTGATTAGCCCACGATACATCAGTCAGCAAGAGCCTGAATGACTGAGGCACAACTGATCCAAGATAACCAGGCCAAGCGCTAAGGTGGGGGTCGGCCATGACCCCTTCATTAGACTTAGCCACACGACACACGACCTCCCCATTGCTCCAACCCCTGGGAGGAACGGGGAGGGGTCGAGCCTGACCAAGCGTGCCTGCTCTGACAAGAGTAAACATGCCGCACTGACCCCGCAAGGATCGAGGGGACAGTAGTCACCTTGGTCCGGTCAGACGCCATCCCTACGCCACATAGCATGGACAAGACAACACCGCACGGCGGTGACGGCTGGTACGGTGCCCATCGTCCAGATACGGCCCGATAAGATGTCTCTACGATTCTACCTACTACGGGATGTGATCCACGACGAGGGCTTTGACTTAGAGGCCATCTAGACCGGCGGAAGCTACGACCCCAGCGCTCGGGATCGTGGCCATCGGCTCCATAAGCCAACAGGGCGATCAACAACCCAGGGGTGGCTACCAACTCCTGTATGACTCCCCTGGAAACCAGGAGGCGGTGACGAAGACCACGGCGGAGACCACGTCGCACAGGACGTGCTGACGAACCATCGCCGTGCCTACAGTGCCGCCATGGCCAGCACAATAGCACCATGTCATGTCACGCCATGCCATGACGTGGCCACATGACAGTGATGACAACCACGACCAGAAGTGCACCACAAGACGACGTAGCTTGCAAGCCAAGTTAGCTAGGTCCTCCCTTAGGCTCATGACCCTTCTGTCGGGAGAACCTTCTTCTTTGCACACGCCCTGGCCTCAAACTCTATATAAAGGCAGCCATGGCAGCCATCTTGGGGATTCGACTCTGTTTCACTCATTCTTACACCGTATAAGGGCTCCTGAAGCTTCCATTCGAGTAGTCCATCTCCTAGCTCTAGCTCTCCTATCTCTTCCACCATTCTTGCAGCCCTCATAGTAAGAACTTTAGAGCATTAAAGCGAGGAACACACACTCGATCATCTCTAAGACTAGATATAGGGCTCCGGCCTGAACTAGTGTAAATCCTTGTGTCTTTTGAATGCTACCATCGTCTTCCTAGAGTAGCGCGACAATCGTATAAATTTACTAGTCCGGTTTACAAAACACCGACACATACGGATGTTGCAAAAGTTGATCAGGATGTTGCACATGTTGCAATGGTTGTACATGTACGTTGCCAGCTCCTATTCTCAATGTTTCATCTGTTCTTCCGACGTATTGTCGGTGTTTTCGGACCATCGATGAGTAAATTTGTATTTGCGCGTCTAGCTTAGATGGTGTGCTTTAGAGGACAAGAGGTTTATACTGGTTCGGGCAAAAAGTCTCTACGTCCAGTTTATCGTTGTTGCTTGTGTTACTAGCACTAAAAGTTTGTAGTAGGGGTTATGAAAGCTCTACTTTGGTTTTGATGAATTGATGAAACCCTAAGTGCTAACCTAGTTTATCAAAGTGATTATGAGATAGGTAGCACTACTCCAAGTGGTGAAGCAAATGAAGATCATGACATGATGATGGTGATGCCATGGTGATGATCAAGTGCTTGGACTTGAGAAGAAGAAAGAGAAAAACAAAAAGCTCAAAGCAAAGGTGATATTGATAGGAGCTTTTCGGTTTAAGTGATCAAGACACTTAGCGAGTGTGATTACATTTAGGATTGATAGCCATACTATTAAGAGGGGTGAAGCTCGTATTGAAATGCGATTATCAAAGTGCCACTAGATGCTCTAACTCATTGCATATGTATTTAGGATCTAGTGGAGTGCTAACACCCTTGAAAACATTTATGAAAATATGCTATCACATGTGCACAAGGTGATACACTTGGTGGTTGTCATATTTGATCAAGGGTGGTGAAGTTACGGGTCAAAAGGAGCCATTTCGTATTGACCGGACTCTGCCTTGAGCAATCACCGGACTCTGACCCTGCATCCGGTCAGTGGCGTGCAATGAAGGCCGCTCTCGGTCCCTTGACTGGACGCTGAAGCGAAGGAGGGACCATACACATAGGAGGTGTGTTCGGTGACCTAGTGACGTACGCTAATGCAAGCAAAAGAGAGAGGGTGAGTTGACCGAACGCTGGCCTAGGTCCGGTCATGAGCCACCGGACGCATCCGGTCGTGAAATTTCGCCTCTAGAACCTTACTAGAAGTGATCGGATGCCAGGTGAGGGTGCATCCGGTCCTACACTATAGCGCGTCCGATCACAACTTAAGTGCACTAAGTGCACCATGACCGTTGAGATCGGGCGATCAACGTTTGAAGCCGATGACACATGGCGAGCATCGGACGACCGGACGCTGGGGTCCTGCATCCGGTCAACCTAACTAGCGCGTTCGGTCTCCCCAAGCTAGGCTGCTCTGTGAGCCTAATGGCTCTATTCGTTGGGGGCTCTATTTAAAGGCATGTGGCTGGCTCTAGCTGTGACTTTTGGCCATTTGCATTGACATAGCAACCTTGTGAGCTTAGCCAAAGCCCTTCCACTCATCTCCGTCATTGATTCATCATCTTTGTGAGATTAGAAGTGAATCCAAGTGCATTGCTTGAGTGTTTGCATCTAGAGGCACTTGGTGTTCGTGTTTCGCTGTGGGATTCGCTTGTTACTCTTGGTGGCTGCCACCACCTAGATGGCTTAGAGCGGTGGTTGGTGATTGTCCTCGGCTCTGATCATGGTGATTGTTAGCGGTTCTTGACCTTTCCTCGGTGGAGAGCCAAAAGATACTCTAGTAAATTGCTCATGGCTTGTGTGATCATCATTTTGTGTTGGTTGTGTGGCACCCTTTTGAGAGTTTGGCATGTGATGCCAATTAGCGCGTGAACCTCTAAGTGAGTGAATCGCCACAATGGGGACTAGCTTGCTGGCAAGCAAGTGAACCTCGAAGAAAAATCATTGTGTCGTGATTGTCTCCTTGGTATTCACTCATTGGTCACTTGCCACGGCGGTATAACTCTCTACGACTCCCTTGTACTTCATTATACATTCACTTGGATAGAGCTAGTGATAGTTAAGACTAGATAGTGTATCTTTTAATTGGATCACTCTCACTAGGTTGATCATCTAGGTGTATATTAGTGACATAGCTTTGTTGTGATATACTAGAGATCATAGAAAATAGAA